TCATTCGAGTAAATTGTACGTAACTATTGAAGTAAATTTTTTTAGGGATGTATTTATCCATGTTCTTTTATTTTCTAGGTAAATAAGGTAATGACCATTTTAATTATAAAAATTTATTATTAAAAGTAGTATTTTTATCCTATTCAAGGGTTGACAATCTTCCCTCCAAGTGAGAAAGTTATTTACCCACTTAAGAAATAGGTATCACTTACCAATGTAAATGGTACCTTAGAAAATAAACTTTTGCTGGGGACTATAAATATGAAAAAAAAAGAATATGGGATTCTTGGTCAATGGGAACCAAAATCCCATTGACCAACTCCTCCCCTCTCAAAATCCAAAAAAAGAATACCCCTTAAGAGAAGTGAATAAAGAAGGAATCTTAAAATGAGAAATGCTCTACATTTACAATTTGGGTCACGTTAGGAGACTAAGGCCTTCGTGGGAATAGGGGTCTGGAATCGGAATCTGAATGGAATAGGAATTCCATTTCCATTCCTAGTTTCACTAGGAATGGCATTCCCCCATTTGAGGGAATGGTTATTCCCCCTCCCTCTCTTTGGAATGAAATTTCATTTCAACTGATTTCGATTTCTATTCTATTCTTGACTAAACCAAATAGATTATGAAAATAGACCATACCGACTCCATTTCCGATAGATTTTGATTTTGAATACAATTTAAACTATGAATCAAATAAATTCTAAATTTTTTCAGTGGATCTGAACCCTAATCAAGGCCTCATGTAGTGAATGCACCTACTTAATCTAATTCATTGGTTATTACTTTTGGCAAGTGAATGCAGTGAATAACCAGTGATCTTATTGCAAGGAAACATGGTAACTTATCTCACCTTTTTTATTTTTTTAATAACATCTTTAGATAGGAATGGCAACGGGGCAGCTTCAGGTTGGGATCATATTTCCCATCCCCGACCCGAATCCCCACCAGGCACCAAGGATAAAAATGACCCGCCATCCCCAATCCCCTTACAAAGACATATTTCCAATCGAGGACCCAAATCTCCAAAGTTTTTAAATTAAAATTATTTAAAAAATATATATTTGCTTAAAATAATAGTTTTTTAAATATACAAATATTTTAAATATATTTTATATAATCGGGGTAGGGGTTGGGCAAGGAATTCACTCCCCATACCCGTCTCTGTCCCCAATTGGGTATCACTATCAATCCCTATTCCCACCCTTATCCCACCAAGCAGGTAATCTCCATTCCCAACCCAACGGTGTCACCATAGTCCATCCCCATTTCCCCCTCCCACCTTCCTATTCTAGTTAGAGGTGTTACCATTTCCCCCTCCCTCCTTCCCTTTCTAGTTAGTGGTGGGTCTACCTTCTAAAGGTAGAAGATAGTGAATGGTATCTTCTTTAGTCTAGGATCTTAAATACCTCAACCAGTTCAGTCTCAAGGTAAAAGACAATGAACAATGTCTTCTTTTAAATGATAGTTTTGATATTTTCAAAAATTTTAAGTTGCACATATCATTACATGATTAGATAATTGACAATTGGTTAACGACATAGACCAACTTGACACTTTTTGAAAGTTTAGGTATTGCAGTAACACGTTTAAAAGTTCAGGTTCTAATTTGACACTACCCCCAAAGTTCAGGGTTCTAAAGTGGATTTTTCCCAAAAAATTAAATAAGAATTTGTGCAAAAAATCATTTGCACTATATAAAATTTGCACTCCAACCAAACATGATCAAGACTCAAACCGATTATAATAGTATACTATAAAAACATCTCAAGTCTCATACTTATTTTTGTCATGTGTACTTATAATATTATCATATTATAATGTTCAAACATGTTAATTTAACAAATAAGTAAGTCTATTTTTCATCATCATCCATGCCCTGTCCCAATTATATGAGGTTGGTTACAGGAATCTTGTTTTGCAATCCATTTTATTAAATGAGTCGGTTTGTTGTTAATTTAGTAGGTCCTAGTAAAATTGTCAATGAGTTGGGTAGGGGTGCAAGTTGGGCGGGATGGGCCGGGTTTATGGTCAACCCAGGCCCAGCCTAAGCCCGAGGTTAAGCTCGATTTTTCCAACCCGAGCCCAGCCCGCCCTGTAATTTGATGCACTCGGGTTGAGTTCGGGCCTGGGCCGGGCTCGGGTTGGTCAATGAACTTACTCTAAAAGTACACATATATAAATGTATTTATGCAAATATATATTCATATATTTATGTATGTATGTAAATATGTATGCAAAATATCTATACAAATGTTATATGTACAAATATGTATGTATATATGTAAATATATATGCAACATTTACATATATACACATATGTGTATAAATGTATATAATTGGGCCGGGCTTGGGCTGAGTTCGGGCTACCTAAGGGCTAGGCCTGAGCCTGACCCGAAAAATAAAACGCTCGACTTCTTGGGCCTGAGCCTAGCCCGAGGACCAAAAATCCAAGCCTAACCCATGTAAAATTCCAGGTTGGGCCGGTTCGGGCTCAGGCTGGGCCCACCCAAGTTGCACCCCTAGAGTTGGGTCAACCTGCTGGAACCGAATTCATTGACGGATTATATTGATTATGATTTTGAGTTTTGTATCTTGATTATAAATGGGATAAGATCAATTTTTGCTATTCCAAACGAATTATATAATTTATAATATATAAAGATCTCCTAATTTTCTTCTAATTTTGGTTAAGAAGACTTGTTTTATTAACATATACATAGTTTATGATGTTGCACAATCTGGTAGCTCCCTGTTGGAGGACAACTTGGATACCATGCTAGTGAGGTTGCCTGGTCGAGCTACAAGGAAACAATATCAGAGTTTACCTGGGATGAGCACTCCAATGCTTAAGTTAGCGAAGAGCATCTGGATACTTTAGAAAGCGAGAATGCAAGAGAGCTCTGAATTCTAAATTGCACATACATGATCTGATCAATGGGGTGCCTTTATATAGGCACAGGATATTGTGGGCTTTATGTAGCACGTCCAAGATCTCCGGCCCGCCTCTCTCGGAGGTGGTTTCACACTTGGAGTCGGCTTCTGCGTAAAGCAATAGAGTTTATTTAGTTGCATCCAAAGTGGGCAGGGCGGGAGTTAGTTTTKTCGATGAGGCAACATGATCCCAGAGGAGTCGGAGGTGATAACCCACTTGCAGAGGAGTTCACCCGTCATGTTGTGTAGGTCACCAACTAGGTTTCAGTCAGGTCGACGGAAGCAAGTCGCCTCTTATGTTGACTTGACCTTTTTTGGGGCATCACGAGGTTGGCCTGCCAAGGTGAGGTCGAGGTATTTAAGACAGGTGTAGTGTGTCCGAAGTGCCTCCGAAGTCAATGCCTACATGGCGCTGAGATATCATGTGAGGGTTCTAGAGTGGCACATGTCATGATATCACTGAAGGACCAAATCACCCCTTCATTAGTTTACTTATTATAAATCATTTTTATTAAGATTATATTATGAAAAATGAAGTTCCAAGTTGTTGGATGATATAATTATAGATGTCAAGAATAATAGGTTTGATGATCTTGATTAATAATCAATTTGATTTTGGAGGCCTGGGGGGTAGAACCACGTCTACCATGACCCGATCCATTTGACAACACTAGCGGTGAAGGGGTTAGCACTGGGGGTGCCAAATATAATATATTGCTATTAGATAAAAGATGAATTTGAAACATCTCTGTATCAAGCTACCATCATAGACAATTTATAGTAATTTCTGTTATTTTTCCAGTAAATTAAAATTGCTGATAAATTGTTATATTTACTAATACTTGTTGGTAATTTCTAATAATTTGTTATTTTCCTGGTAAATTGATACTGGTAATTTCTGGTAATTTTAGATAGTTACACTTAGGGTCCATTTGGTTCATAGTCGAAATCGGACTTGGAATGGTCTATTCTCATAGTCTGTTTCTTCTAGACAAGAATGGGAATGAGAATTAGAATAAGCAGAAATGGGATTTCATTCCCAGAGGAAAGGGCAAGGAATGACCGTTCCCTCAAATGGGAGAATGCCATTCCAGAAGGAATGAGAATGGGATTCCAATTCCGCCCAACCAAACAGTTGGAATCAGATTAGTCCATTCCTATTTTGATTCCAGACCCCTATTCCTACGAACCAAACAGGGCCTTAATTTCTAGTAATTACTGATAATATGAATAATTTATAGATAATTTCTGGTAATTTTCAATAATTACTGATAATTTATCAATAAATAATTAAAGAAAAAAAATAAATTAACAACTACTACAATTGACAAATAATTTATGGTAATTACCAATAATTTCTGATATTGTTTGATAATTTCTGACAATTTCTAATAACTTTTGATCACTTCAAGTAATTTATGGTAATTTTTTTATAATTTACTAATAATTAATAACTTATAATTACAGATAATTTATGCCAATTACAGACAATTTCTAGTAATTTCTATTATTTCCCGGTTGCTGGTAATTTGTTATATCTACTAATAATTGTTGGTAACTTCTAGTAATTTTGTTATGTTTCCAGTAAATAAAGCCAAAAAACCGAATTGGCATATATATGAATATAAATAGATATATATTATGAATATAAAAAACTAATATATTATAAATGTAAAAAAACTAAAAATCAAGAATCAAACCGATCAACCGGTTACTGGTTGGTTCGGTTTCGGTTCCCAATATTGTAAAAATCGAAGGATCGGTTCAATTTCAAAATATTGCCCCGAACCGTGAGCGCCCCTTATCTAGCATATTGGTATCCGGGTAAACGGATACCTATCAATTCCATGGGGGATCCGGATTCCGGAAAGGATAGAGCTGAGTCCAGTCCAGGGTCCTGGATCCAAAAACGTGAATGTAAAGAATCCAGTTTTTTCGGAAAGACCACGTTCGAGAACTTGATCTTAAAACTTCTAAGCCAAATAAAAAACACTAAACAGAGAAGTTGGTTGTAAAACCCGAAAACGTGAAGACCAAAGCTAATTATAAGACCAAAAACAGAGGAAATAGTCGCAAAAGGCAAAACAAAGCTGCATGAGGCTGCAAAGAGGCAAGCAACAACAATGGCAGAGGCTTCGCATCTAACGGGACTTAGCGGATGCTCACTTAGCTTGCCTCGCAATTTCCCTCCTTCTCTCAGAAGCTCCTCTTTTCATTCTCTCGGCTTCCAGAGCTACAGCAACGGAGGCCACAACGGTAGATGTTTTTGTATTCATGACAGAAGAAATGGCGGTGATGGCGTCGTTCGGTTCATGGCTTCTTCATTTGGGTCGCGGTTGGAGGGGAGCATTAAGAAAACGGTGTCGGAAAATCTCGTCGTTATATACTCTAAGACCTGGTGCTCGTGAGCTCAATTGAACCTCTCATATCTGTTGCTGTTCTTTTCCTGTGATTGTTGTTGTTTGTTGATCTATTTAATTTATCTTATGGTGATTTTAATGCATTTTAAGGTGGATTGGTTGCTTCTGAATTTAAGAAGTTCTTTTTTTTTTCATTGGGCGAATTACGAATTCAATTGTTTTTCTTTTTGATCAATAACTCGGTTGTTTGGTTTTGGAAGGTATGCTTCGGAGGTAAAGTCATTGTTCAAACGACTTGGCGTGCAACCGCTTGTTATCGAATTGGACGAACTGGGTACATGTTTTCTTGCTTCTTCTTAATGGTTCGATTTTGTCTTAAGCGAGTTTCTCGCCTCTGCTAGTATTGTTTGTTTGATTTGAGACCAATAAATTACCATCAGGATATAAACGATCTATTCTGGCTAGTATGACTTTGTTATTATTAGAAACAAGGGCCTAGTCTGCACAAATTTAAGGTTTAAACTTTAAAGTTCAGAACTTTAACTTCAGAAGTTAATCTAAAGGAACTCCAAGGCTCAAATCATGATTAATGCTTTTTAAAGATATCCGAAACCTGAATTTGGCAAATGGCAACATCACCATCTCCTGGATTTAACTAAGGTCGGAGCTTGGAATTAATCCAAGCCTGTCTATTAGTTCTCTTGCTTGTCCTATATGTGTTAAATAACCATTTATTATGAAATGCCCTAAAAATTAGGTCAGAGTGTATTTTTTTTTTCAAATTTCATGGAGTTCCACAAATTAGCATGAGTGAGAGTATGGAAAAATGCAACAATAGGAGTATATTTTCATGTATAAAAAGCATACAGATGAATAAATGATAATATAAACAAAGGATTTGAAAGTAGTAGGGGATTTTGAGAAAGCTATTGCATTCTTACAGATCATTTAATAACTATCAGGAAGCTCTGAATGTTAAATAATACCTCCAAATGGCTCCAGAAGTGTTAAAACATAGATACAATCACAAAAATACAAACATATACATATACAAAAAAATAGACCAAGCATCTGAAGGTGTGAGAAATGTGCTTTATACTTTCAGGTGTTTGCCTCAAGGTTGACCCGTGAAGTGTTTTCCTTGAGCACAAAAATAGGGGCTATTCTATGTGCTGCATTATTCTCCCTCAGTTTAAAATACCCAAGCGTTGAAGGATTAGCATGAGAGTTTGGACAAAGTAATTTTCTTTTTAGCTTCTCTGCCATTCCTGAAAAGGGTGCAAGTCAGGTACCCCCAACTTAAAGAATTTACAGCGTTGGGTTCAGATCCTCAGGCTGGATCCATTCAAAGTTGCCATCGTTATGTATCTGTTGTTACTATTATTATTATTATTATTATTATTATATTTTTGAGAAAAGGCAAAGTATAACTGCATTAACGAAGAAAATGGGAGAAACTCCCTTTACAGTGAATGACTGTACAATATGAGCATATACAAAATTTCAATAGTATACTAATTACAAAGGAGTTACTCTAGTCAGATTGGAAGCTTTAGCCCAAGAAAAGATTTTTGAAGTTATGTATTGGGTAACTTCTTTTTTTTTTATTTATCAATAATGGCAAATTTTATTAAGACTATAAAGCTTTAATTACAATAGAGGGGGAGGTAAACTGTCTTAACTGCCCCACCAACATAAAAACAAAAGAAGTAAAATTAGAAATGAGCCCAAAAAAAGGAACCCCTATTCACCCCTTGCTTGGCTAGCCCATCGGCAAGTGAATTAGCAGTTCTCTTTACCCAACTATATTTCACCTCAATGTCCCTAGTCAGCCACTTAAGTATTTTCTTTTCATTGCTGTAATTCCATATACCAGAGCTGTCTTTCTTTATCCATCTTACCACCACCTCCGAGTCACCTTCAATAACCAGTCTTCTGATGTTCAACTCCCTTGCTCTTTGGGCACCTTCCAGGGCTGCAAGGATCTCAGCCCTAAGAGAGTCACCGTCCCTAATAGGGTTAGAAAACATGGCTAGAATAAGTCCTTCCTCATTCCTGAAAACTTCCCCAATACCAGACAGCCCTGTGTTTCTTAAGCTGCTGCCATCAAAATTCAGTTTTATGAACCCAGTGGGAGGAAAGGTCCAAGAGGGATTAGAAACCCTTTTAACCTTGGCAGAGTTAGCTATCTCCTTCCACTTTCTCAGCAAGTCATCCAAGGAGAAATCTGAAAATAGGTCCAGGGATTTCAGCCAGTGTGCCACCCTTAAGTGAATCAATTCCATTAAGTTCTCAATGATTCTCTCCCTTTTTGAGAAAATTCATAAATTTCTTTCTTCCCATAAAGACCAACAAACTGCTGCCCTAATACATCTCCACATAATCCTCCCTATTTTCAATTGCCAGCAGGGGGGGGGTCCAACTACACCCAAAGAGGGAGAATACCCATTCCCGAATAGTTATAGCAAACGGGCAATAAATCAATAGGTGATGACCAGTTTCCCCATCAACTTTGCAGAGAATACACCTATGTGGGGATAAACAAGAATTGAGTCTCCTTCTTTGAAGAATGTCCCCCAATAAAAACTACCAACCCAAGGAGGAATGGGCTTGCTCCAAACCTCTTTAGTAGGAAAAGACTGACCACTAGAGGCAAGAGGCTGAGATAAGGTTTCAAAGAAAGAGGCACAAGAGAAGGTACCGGAGGAGGATGGGGTCCAAATTTTACATTTTCCTTAAAGGGATCTAAGGAAACATTTTCAAGAATGGTTAACAAGTTCAAGGTACATTCAAGTTCTGTCCCTAACAGTCATTTTCAAGCCCAGGTTCCACCCAAACCCAGAAGAGGAGTCTGAAGGCACAATGAAAGAAGAGATGGGTTCATTCTTCAGATCAGACAGGGCATGCAAATATGGAAACAGGTCCATCAAAGGGGAATCCCCAACCCAAGTTTGCTCCCAAAACTTTATAAGGTTACCAGAATTCAAATCATACCTGATCCAAGGATTCTGCAATTCTTCTCCATCCAAGTAGTCCATAAGGCAGCAGCAGTTATCATAAGCCAAATGATCTTTCCATTTCTAGTAAGGCCCCCAGTGTGCCAGCTCTCTAACAATTGAGAAGTTGTCTAAGGGAAGGCCCAATTCATCTGGAGAATGCTAAGAAGATGAGCCCAGACCTGTCTGCTAAGGGGGGCAGTGCAGAAAAAAGATGATCTGCGGTCTCCAAATACACATTGCAGAGTGGGAAGTTAGATGCAATAAAAATACCCCTCCTGATTAGCTTTTCTTTAGTTAAGCATTTGCTTAAAGTAATTTTCCAGACCAGAAAGGCCACTTCAGATGGCACCTTGTAAACCCATACAGCATTTAAAGGGATTTGGGACATTAGATTTAGAGAATGGGTGGTGGATCATGGATCTAGCAGAGAATTTGCCTTTGCTTGCACTTCCAAATTCTGCTGTTAACAGTGCTGGAATTCAGGTGAAAGGATTGGATCTGACAGAGTGAAGAAGCTTCCGGATAAATCTCCCGTTCAAAGAGGTTTCTTCTGAATTTGGGAGACCAAACTCCTGACTCTCCAGAACCAGAAAAGCAATCAGCAACTGAATCTTCCTTGTTGGAGGCTATATTAAATAGACTTGGATACTGGTCAGCTAGAGATCTGTTTCCACACCAAGGGTCAATTCAGAATCTCCATTGACTATTGTTGCCTAGATTGTAAACAATGCCTTCTCCTAAAATAGGTATTGCACCTCTTTCTTTTCCTTTTAGAGATGAATGTATATTTTGATGTTTGAGCTCAGGAACTTTGTTGTAGTTGAGAAGTAAATCTTCTCCTTGATAATGAGTCTTTATCATCTCCATCCTCTAGGTTGGTGAGATTCCAATATCAAGGTATATTGGATAGTGTGACTCTTATTCTTTTTGTGGAAATCCTCTATTAAAGCACCTTCAAACTCATACCAGTTTTGTACCTTGAAGCAGTTAGTTGCCTTCAGTTCCATAGCAACAGCATGGCTTTATATTTGTCTAGATGAGAATATGGCTATGTTTCTGAGATGTGACTATAAAAGGTGTCTGATGCACCAAGTTCTTCAGAAAATGCAGTTCCTTATCACTGTAGTGTATATATCCATTGCTAAAAGGGGGTTTGTTTCTTATGAATTAATGTGCTTGAAGTCAATGCATGTCTCCTCATTTTTCTAAAGACTACACATGTTGAATTAACACTGCTTTAACCTATATTATAAAGAACCTTAATTAAAATAATGCTAATCATGCCTATCATCATATCAGTGATTTAAATCATATCAGTGATTTAAAATGCGTGCCTAGGTGCACAGGCGAGGCGCATTTTGGGGTATGCGCCTCGCCCGGGTCCTAGGCACACCCCTTTCAAAAGGTGCACGCCTGATGTGCCTTGCGCCTCAGCCCAGGCGTGTGCCTTTTTAAAATTTTGCGTTTTTTGCTTTTTTTTTTTGAGTCTAACATAGACTTGTTCGGGCTTTCCTCAAGGGACATGGTACAAAGGCGACTCATAGAATCAAGAATGCAATATGTTTTACATCATATTAGCTACTTGAAGCAATGCAATTAAGGAAAAAAAGAGATTGTGGGTTTTACATGCTTGAAAATGCTTTATATGTTTGCTTTTATTTTTAAATTTTCATTTGAATACGCTTTATATGTTATGTTTATGTATTTTAATTTTTGATAATAGGTTTTTTAAAACATTTATTTTAAAATTTAAGTTTATATCTTTTATTAACATTATTTTTTGCATTTTTATTTTTTTGGTATTTTTTTTTGAATTTTCTGATTTTTTTAGCTTTTTTTTTTCTTTGTAGTTTTGCGCCTTGCTTAAAAAGGTGCACGTCTCGCCTTGTGCTTTGCGCCTCAGGCACAAATTGGCCCTTGCACTTTTAAAACACTGCATCATATAATTGAGGACCTCTGTTCTCTTTCAGGTGCTCAAGGACCACAGCTGCAGAAGATGCTTGGAAGGCTCACTGGACAACATACTGTTCCAAATGTTTTTGTTGGTAAGTAGAACTTTGGAATTCTTATTGATTACCCTTCTGTAAATTAATCTCACTGAACAAAATACCCTTAGAAATGCTTAATACTTATTTCTATTGAATATCATAAAATGGCTTCTCTATGGTTCATTGACATACGCATACATATATGCATATATCCATGTATCTATATACACATATAAACTAAACATGCTATATATGCATCCAAATGCTCATTTAAACTAAAAATACATGGTTAGCTAACATATCTCAATTAGCTAAGCAGAAATTCTTTTACCAAACAAGAATGGTTAACCAGTGCAAATTGCTGGATCTTTGTAGTTCCTTTTCATGCCTGGTGCAAGGCTATATTCTTTGCTATTGGGGAAATATTATGTGATTTTGTTGACGTGGATTGTTAATCCACTAATTGGAAGATAATTGGTACACTTCATTTGTTGGTCTTGAGGGGTGGGGGTGGGAAAGCCTAGAAAGCATCCCAAGTTTTATTAAAGTTGGAAATTAACAGAAATATATATACAAATAGGATTACCATCGAAGATCATGATCTAGATATTGTCATGTTGATGAGAGTAACCTAGATGATAGGAAGGCAAACAAAGTTAATAATAGTTTTGCCCTTCTCAAGTGGTTTGGGCCCGTGGACATTAATCTATTGGAGAAGAATCTTTTCTTGGGATTATTAAAAATGGAACTTTTATTAATTGTAATAAAAGAATGTTATGTATGTTGTTGTGAGTATTGTGAGAGAAGGGAGGAAAGAAGGGGGAAAACTAAAGGAGAGAATAGAAAACTAGGGCTTCAAATCATACGCCTGCCTCTCCTCTCTCAAATGAGAGAGATGATTTTATATTGACACTATCATCATCACCATCATCTAAGCCTTGTCCCAACTATATGGGATTGTATGGGTGAGCATTATTCGGTTAAAACTGAAAAGCTGAACTGAAAATTTCGGTTTCGTTTTTTTTGGGTTTTGGTTAATTCGGTTTTTGAATGCTTTGGTTTCGGTTTCAGTTTTTAGAATTAGAAATAAGGTTAACCAAAAAAACTGAATTAACCAAAGTTTGCTATGTATAATATATTTATATATTAATATATAATATATTTTATATGTTATAGTATATATAATATCGTATATATATTATTGAAATTCGATTTTAACCAAAATAACAAAAAACCGAACCGAAATTTTGGTTTTGGTTATTTTGGTTTTCTATAATTCGGTTTAGGTCTGAATTTCATTTTTAAGTTTGGTTTTTAAAATTTCAGTTTTTAACCAAATAAGCTGAATCCTCACCTATGATTGGCTATGTGAATCTTGTTTGCCATTCCATTTTGTTCAATGCCATATCCATTGTTAAACTATGAGCACTTAAATCATTTGTTACTACTTCCACCCAAGTCCTTTTTGATTTTCCCTAGCTCTTTTAGCTAGGGCTGCAACTTGGGTGGGCCCAAATTGAGCCTGACCCAACCCAACCTCAGTTTTTACACGGGTTGGGCTTGAGTTGTTGGGATGGAGACTGGGTTTGGGCCAGAAAATTTGGGCCTGATATAAACCTGTTGGACAGTGTCACAACTTTCAAAACCTGTGTTGACACATCAAGTAGCTTGAGCCCAACTTGAGCCTGGCCCAACCCAACCCAAGCAAGTACACATCCACACATGCATTTTTTTAATATAAAAATATATTTTTTCTAATTATATATATGTACATATGTATTAATATGTATGTGTGCATTTGTAAATGAAATTTGTACATATTTTCAATAAATTCTACTATGAAATTGGGCCACAGTCTAATAAAAGATGGCTATACAAAAATATAATCATAAATTCTTTCAAACCCAACCAACCTGCCCAAGCCCGAGTAAGAGTGGCCCAAGTTGAGTTAGGTTAAACTCAGGTTGGGCTTGGATTAATAAATTCAGGTTAGACATCCAGTTGGGCAGGCTCAAGCCCGAGGTTTGCACCTTTAAGGTTGGGCTTGGGTTGACCATCAACCCGACCCAACACCCCTACTTCTAGCCCCTTCAACTTGTAACAAATAACTTCTTCTGAAGGTGCTGTAGATGGTCCTCTATGCAAGTGTCCGAACCATCTCAGTCTACTTTCTCTCATTTTATCACCTATTGGAGCTACTCCTAGGTTCCTTCATATGGCTTTGTTTTTGACCCTATCTTTTCTAGGCAGTTTTGGGTACCAGTCTTTTCTTGAGGCAACGTTTGTACCTGAGTGTCTTCGAAATTGAAAAAATTGTTGGGTTGTGCGTAGAACCTAGTGCACAATTATTTAGTTTTGTTTAAGTCACCTAGGTGCCATTAGGTGCAACATAGGATAATAGAGGTGAAACGCCCTTAGGAGCAAGAAACCTCAAAATGTTGTTTTCACTTTTCACCAAAAATCACTTTCACAAAACTTGAGGAAAAAAAGTACAACGAGTTTTACTTGAAGCAACCCAACCAAATAAGATTTTGGTGGGGTAAATTCAAAACACCTACATGATGCTGACATAGCAGTGTTTCTTCAGGAAATGACCACAACACCAAATACCTACTGATTTTTACCACTCATCCATCTAAGCATTTGCACAATTGCCACACTCATTTTTTGGACTTGTTTCTTGACTGCCCAACACTCTGTTCCATACAACATTGCTGGCCTTACAGCTGTTTTATAGAACTTTTCTTTTAGCCGAAGTGGTATTCACCTATCACGTAAGACTCCAAATGCACCCCTCCACTTCGCCTTGCCCATCTTGCTCTAATTCTATGAGCAACATATTCCTCAATCTATCCTTTTTTACGGATTATTGAACCAAAGTAATGGAGGAGGAGGTTACATTGAGTTATCTTGTGGTCTCCGATCCCAAGTGTACCTTGATTTGCACTCCCATTATTATTAAATTTACATTGTGTATATTCTATTTGAAAGAATGGTAGGATCCATCTAATGGACGCCATGAAGGTTGCGGAATGGGTGGGCGAATTTCAAAAATTTTCCTACCTTCTTCCAACTGGGAATCATATTCCCTAAATTTATAATACAATATTCAAGGATCCTACTTGAACCGTAATCGAACCAGATCTGAACCAAAAGGAAATGAAGGAATTATACCTGATCCAGAGAAGCAGTATCTCCCAAACTTGGTGTTCATGCCCAAAGAGGACACCAAGATCCGCTCCTGCTGAAGATGACACAACTGCATGTGGAACGGAACTAGCAGAGTGCGTCCTACACACTGGATCCTTCGCAAGAATCCTCTGGAAACTCTGAGCACCAGATCTTTTCAGTCTTTTCTGCAAAGCTGATGTCAAGAAACAATTTCTTGATTTCTTTCTTCTTCAAAGATCAAATCTTGTAAGGAAGAATGGCGGCGGCT